CCCTTCAATTTTTTTGAAAAAAATCTGTAAGTATTCCATTCCTCCAAATCTAGTATTTGTAAAGTGCCACATATAACCTTCCCTCTTCAACTTTTTTTTATAGTGAAACTAATCAGGAGGCATCCATCGAGTTCCTATTTTTTTCCTTTTTCTATCCATAAGCCACACTTGGATTTCATTAATGCTAAACTATTAATTCATACTTTTTACCAACCAATGTCGTTATTGGCAGCAAGGTTAAGTGAAAGATTGTTCTTGATGGCACCAAAAGGACCTTCAATTATCATCTTGACATCATAGTTTCCATCAGAGTAGCTTGATCTGTAGCATAATGGTTCAACCAACAACATCATAAATTGAAGTATTAACTCACAAGAATATGTAAATGCTAATGTTTAAAGGGGCTCTCTTTTCCGTAACCTTTTTACCAAGATCAAAACAGAAATATAATTGCAAGACTAAACTACCATGGTATTCTAGGTTAAAAAGAAACACTAAAGGAGACACATATAACATTTTGTGATACCATACATATCAAAGTTTTTCATTTGGGCAAATCATCGAACAGTTGGCATGCATTATGAAATATAACTATAATTTACAAACAAAGAGGGATGATGCTATCTTGACAATAGTCAACCCTACAGATTAAAACTCATGATTCATCAAATAAAACCCTAAGTCTAATTGAAAGAAAACGTTTCAATAAACCTGAAATCGGGTAGAACCAATCGAGGCTTAGCATATCTATTGACCAAACCGGATTTACAAGAACATAGAACAAAACTCAAAACAAATGTAGATTAGTTTGTGAAATGTCAAATAAAGTAATAAACATGGCATAATGGAACATAAATCAGGAAAAATCATCCATGAATATCTTTCTTAAAAAAACGTTGAATCAAATCATTTTACCTTTCATGTCATTTCTCTTAATGTCGAGTTCAATATAGTTGTGGAACATTTTCATGCGAGCTAAGCATCGGAGAGAAGGTAGATGTAAGAAGAGGATGTGATATCATGGACCAAGGAAGAAAAAAGAGTCCGTTGCCGATTGTACCAAATTTGGGGATAGTGCCATTTTCATATTTGAAAATTTGAATATGGTATTGTGAGGAAGCGAGAAATATTTGAATATGGTATTGTGAGGAAGCGAGATTTAGGGAGAAGAAGGGTATTGCTAAGATTAAAGAATAAAAGGGTAAAGTGGTAATTTTAGTTGATGGGGAATGAAGTTTATTGAATGAACACGTGGCTAACAAGGATTCTTTTATTGGGAGTAGGATATATATATATATATATATATATATATATATATATATATATATATATATATATATATATATATATTCTGATGAGAAATATCATAAATTAAAAAAAAGAACAATGTTAAAAATTAGTAGTTAAGAAAATGATTAAATCGATCATACATTCCTATAACACGTAAACAATTTAATTGACTTAATTACCTAATAGTTTACTATAGAACTAGTACATCACAAGTTGTTATCTTACGTATTATATGTAATTACGTAGGGGTGGCAATTTATGACACGACACGACAAAAATACACGACACGAAACGAAATTGAGACGAAACTGAAATTTGAATTTGTGTTCGTGTCGTGTTCGTGTTAACTGTAAAAAACATAATGTCGTGTGTGTGTTCAAAATTCGACACGAAATTGACACGATTTAGGAGTTCTTTATCGTGTTTTTCGTGTTTGTCGTGTTTTTCGTGTTATATTTGATAAACTACTTATTAAATATAATAGTTTATAGGATATGATATATTTTGCGTGTCGTGTCGTGTTTGTCGTTTTTTAATTCGTTCATTTTCGTGTTAGTTAAAAAACACGACATCGTGTCGTGTCGTGTTCGTGTCACATAAAATATTGTCGTGTCGTGTCGTGTCAGACAGAATCACGAAATGATAGCACGATTTGCCACCCCTATAATTACGTATATATAGTATATAATTACACCTATGTCCACCCATTCATGTAAAGCTACCCTTGTAAGGTACTAAGGTCTATGTAATTACTCTCTCTGTCCCATATTAATAGTCAATGTTTTTTTTGGTTTGTCCCAAAATAATAGCATACTTCTAAAAATAAATCTATTTTACCAAAATACCCCTCATTATTAGTTAATTTACCATGAAATTAAATGCAACAAAATGATGAAATTAAATACAACAAAAGAGTACAATTGTCATTTCATTTAATAAAGTTAGTGATAATTAATATTTTTTTAATTTGTGTGTTTTTTGTATGTGGACAATAATTTTGGGACGGAGGCAGTATATATTAGTTTACTTAATGAAAGTGATTATTTCATGGGTAAGTTTCATGTTATTAATACTAATTACCTTTTTAATTTTTCTCTAATTTTTCTTCTTCCTTCCTTCGTTATTCTCCTCGATGGCACCAAACCCTAACCATAGTCGTCGTCGTTGAATCACAATGACAAGATCCTCCAATCCATGCACACTCTAAAATATCATATGGTGACACTAATATCAATGTATGTATTCCTCTCACCATTTATCTAGATCACTTGAACTATGATTAATAGTAAGAGCATTTTCAAACATATTGCGTAGAATTGTCGTTACAGATCACATCAACGACTCTAATACATGGCCGAACAAGGCTATGGGCGGCAATGGTGACGTCCCAAGGTAACAAAATTTGAGGGGGCATAAATAAATGCCCAAAAATATTAATAGTGATATATTGGTATTAGTTACGTCCAGTTTGTATGCTTTTTGTAGAGAAATATCAGTTGGCAACTGTTAGATGCATATTCATGCATTCATTTTGTAGTTTTAGTTCATAAAAGTGCATTGCATTTAGGTTTAAACTCATGCATTTTGCATATTTTTCGGGATTTTTCATGATGCAATTCCATTCACACACTTTTATGATATTTCAGGGACTTTTGAAGGTTGGATCTTGATGGAGGAAGTTAAAAAGAGTTGGAGACAAAGTTTCAGAAGTTTTGGAGCATTGAAGAGAGAGAGAATGAAGAAATGAAGATTTGAGCCTTTCAGACATTTACACGGCCATGTAAAATGATGGCTTATATTTTACACGGGCCGTGTAAACGCATATGCAAGAGCATTCTTCTTTTCTTGTTTACACGGTCGTGTAAATGGCACCCTTTAATTTACACGGGCCGTGTAAAACGTCTCGACAGTTTTTAAAGTAGTTTTACTCTCATTTAATGGTGACAATCAGTTTTGTGGGAGGTTAGGTCGGATTTTGGGCAGAGAGAAGGCGATTTTCAGAGCTTTTGGAAGTAGATTAACACTTGGAAACACTTTAATTTCCTTTTTGTAAGTCAATTTGAAGTTTGAACTTGTTTGATTTGTAGTTTAACCTAGACATGTGTGGTTGATTTCATTATCATTTCCGAATCTGAATTCTTAAGTATGTGTTGTTAGGTTGTAACTTGAACTTGATTTGTGTTTAACATCTAGTAATCTTTGATTTGATCTTAATCATGTGTTTGGTTAGTTCTCTTTTTCACTTGATCAATGAACTAGGGTTCTTATCAATCTAGTTAATCAAATTATGAAATTCGTATATGTTTTATGATTTGATGTTAGTAACACACACTTACTTGGTTGTAATTAGATCAAAATTAGTGCAATCAAAGATTAAATGTTTATATTCCCAAGCTTAAGAGGAATGTTAAACATTGTTGGTAATTAGTGCAAAAACTTAATGTCATTTAATGATTTGATGCAAGAACTTATTTGAATTGAATCAATTAAATGAAGTTTTATTTGAAGAGCTTGTTTTGAATAAAATACTTTTGCCAATTTGGATATTAGAGTTTATTAATATCTAACTTACCAACCTAGATTGAACATGAGTTATAATCATATTACATCTTTCAACATAATACATGTATAAGAGTCAGAATCGGAAATGTACTTCTTTTACTGCGTTTTGTTATCAATCTTTCTTATTTATGAAGTTTAATTCAAGTTCAAACACAATCCCCCATTTTAATATTATTTGTATTATGTGTGAAAATATGGCAAGATAAGAAGTCCTGTATTCCTGTGGACCGACCCTGCTTACTCTATACTATCTTTAGTATAAGAAATAGCAGTGACTTGAGCTTTATTAATATTATTTTATCCCATTATTTGTTGGTTTGACACACCAAACAGCAACCTATATTTTTATGGCTCTAAAAAGAAAATTAGCATAGAAGATAACGAGACCATATATGTTTTGTCAACACTCACACATTCAAAATGTAGGTGGTCCCTAAAAATGGAATTAGATCCACTTTAGGATAGATGTATCATTGTGTTTCATAATATACACTACTAGAAAACAGCCCTTTAATGACGCGAAAACAATCACACGCGTTGATAGAGGACACGCATTTGTGTGTGCCCTAAAAAATAATGTCAGTTTTGCAAAATATGAAGGATAGAGGACACACATTTGTGCGTGCCCTAAAATTAGTGTCAGAAAAGAAAAAAATGGAAATACGGAGGGCGCCTTTCATAAAATGTGTGTCATCTAAGTGTGTCGCACTGTCGCTTTATAATTTTTTAATGAAACACGCGTTTTAAGCGGGATTTCACCCGCCTATTGGATCCCAAAAATTAAAACCCCCGCCTCTTCCAATTAGCAAGAAAAAGCCCTAGGGACTTCGTCTTCATAGTAGAATTGCTCTTGCTTTCGTGATCAAATGCCTCGCGACGATGATTGTTTTGATGTTTCCCATCTTTATCTCAGTGTTGTAAGCCACTATTGGGACTGGTGTTATGCATTTTCTTTACTCATTGACTCATACACATTCTGCAATCAGGGAGCTGAACTCATGGAGTCGGCGATTTGGGGTCTACGACTCCTCACACTCAAAACGCCGGTGATTTTAAAGTGTTTTGTCCCCAATATCAAAGAAGGACTAGGGATTTTATGTTCTAGACCTCACAAGTGCACACCTAAGAACTAGCGCTTTTATATCAGCATGTTCAGGCAAAACAACGATATCCGTTCTTCCTCCTCGAAAGGTCAGTTTTGGGGTTTCGAAACTATAGGGCTCAAGTTAGAGGTTGAAGATCATAAATCGAAGGTTGAAGGTCAGATTTCGGATTAGAAGTCGGAGGTTCATGGTCAGATTGGAAGCATCAAAATTAGGAAACGAAAATGGAAGAGGCACCGGGTTTGAATATCATTCTCTTCTTCTCCATGTATGTACCCTAGGTTTCTTTCTCTTACTTTATCATTTTCTTATTTTAATTTGGGGCTCTCTGCATTCTCACATACGTCTCTCCTCTCATTATACATGACCTTACACCAGCAATGTCACCAATCGCCATGGACGGTATCGGTAAGGTATATACACGCTTTTTCATTTTATATATTTTTTATGTAATATCAGAACTAATGGTTGATATATCACACACTTAATTTGTCTACTCATAAATCTGCTTTGGAGGGTATCGCCATGAACACGAATCAGTCTTTGTTAGGTCAGTTACTAATGCACGCCCACAAGGTGCTTGACATAATGTCTATGTTAGGTTTTTAAGTAGTTTCATAGTTCATGTTAAAGAATTCCAAACCTTATATAAACTTTTATCTTTTATTATACAATAGGTAACTTTCTTCCTTTCCAATATGCAGGATTTTCAAGAATTACATCCCCTATCTATTACAGGGGAAGAAAATCAAGGATGATTTCCTTAACACTTCAGTTCAAGATTTGGTAACTTACCTGAATCCAATGCTTCTAGCTTACATAGAAGGAACTGAAATCTTAGTTTTTCCAAATTAAATTTTGTGTATTACTGGGGAATGTTTTAGACACAGCCAAGTCAATGTCAGTCAAACGTGCATGGCCTTCTCCTATGGGAACATCAGGGAAAGACATTGCAATGTTGTTCATTGAAGATGCTTTATCAAATCTTGATGCACAACAGGAATATACAACAAACAGAGATGATGAATTAGAGATTGCTTCTTTACAAAAAGATGGAGGGTTATCTTTTTCACGAGTTAAAATAAAGGGAATGGTGGGAAGTTATCCTTTTGAAAACCTGAGATCAGCTATTGACATTTTGTTTCTTTATGGAAGTTCAGATTTGGTTGTAGCAAAACAAGCAATTGTATCCTTCTGTGTTATATTGTTTTGTTTAATCTTTCTTGTTTTTTATGATATAGAAATATGTTTTGTATCTTCTTTAACTTAAAGCAGCTCTTATATTATGTGTTTGATCGACTTTGGAAAATAGCTGATGACAAATGGAGATACTGTGTAGATGACTTTTCTTCTACATTTAACATAGCAAGACACTCAATATTGGAATCATTTACTTTCTATCTCCTTGATGACCACAGTGATGAATCCCTACAGGTGTGTCTCTATCTTTCCTTCATCTTTTTTTTTTCATGTATCAAAGATCCATTTGCACAAAATTCAAGAAAAAGAAAACAAGACATGAATTATATGATGATGATTTTGAAAGTGGGATTAATTGGTTGGAAACACTGATACAAAACATAAGAAAAAACGTAATCATTACAGCCCTTACATTAACTTATTGTAGTAATGTCCTAAACTCCTTGAATCTCTCGGTGGGTTGTACATTTGTATCGCTACCTGTGATACAAAGAAACTGAGTGGGTCAGGCTTGAGATCCTGGTGAGCACATAGGGTTTTCAACCCATAATATTATTATTATATTGGTTTAAGTATATTTTAACACGAAACCGATTTAATCCCAATTACACATTCCCGTTATTCTCACTCTTTGATCCTAAAATGGTAATCTCAAGGGTCATATCCTAAAGGATCTTCGTAACAACGAGTAGACGAAACTTGTTCGGGGATTCCTTAGCAACACATGTCTGTAAGGCAACCATGAGGGGGATAGATCACTCGAATAAATACACAATCCATACTCCCGGATAGTATGATTCATTAACACCTACAGATTGTGAGTATGTTAGTGTTCCACCGGACTATCTAGAAGAGTCTGTGGTTGTCACCAATACTCTGCTAGATGACTGCTCTCAAGTGGGAATGGTCTCTCACCATTATATTATCTCTGGTATAGTCTCTGACCACTATTCTATCTCTGGCATGGTGTCTCGCCATTATATTTTGTAACAATTGGACTTGAAATGTAAAGAATTTCGTGGAGCAGGGGTTGTTTGGTAATTAGTGGATTTGATTTGAAAATGAATAGAGAAGCAGGGGTCGAAAGTGTCAAAAATTGAATGAAGTTTGAAGGTGGAGGTGGGTCTAAAACCCGACACCTCCCCTTCCCTAGCCTCTCATTCAACCCAAAACCCTAACCCTAGATTTGTTCTCCAAATGCCACCCTTATCTCTCCCACCTCCAGTCGCCGCCACCATCACCTTGACGTTGTCGTGGACCACCGAGCGACCACCATCGTCGACCTTCTCCCACCCCCCCCCCACCCCCGCACGACGAAAGAGATTAAGAATGATGAGGAATGGAGGGCAGCCTTCGAGTGTTGTTGCTTCGTCGTCCACCATTCGCAGCCGACGCCGCCAACTACTTTGCTGCCTTCATGGGCCGCCAAGCTAACACCGTCGTTGCTCCCGCTGCCGACGACGACGAGGAGAACTGCGAACTGATGTTGTTGCTTTGGGGAGGCCGGAAGAATGAAATCTTGAAATTGTTGTTGCTGTTGTTCTCAGTTAAGAGTCGCGCCACCTCTCCTTCTATATTTCTTTCTGTTGCTACGTCGCCGAAGCTGCCGCTCCACGGCTGTCCCGTTGCCAATATTCTTCCGGCGGTCGCATGCCACCATGAGTGGGTGGCTGCGTTGTGTGTGATTTCTCTTGTGGGTGTACGTGTTTCAGTATACATCGGTGTGTGTGTGTGTGTGTTTGCTTGGCCGGAAAACCGAAGAAACCCCCCACCACCACCGTGAGGTTGTGGCTGCCACCTCCTGCCGCCGTCTGCCACCATATTGGTGGTTGTATTGTACTTTTGCATTCTTTTGGTGTGTGTGTGTATTTTTTGCATGATTGTTAATATGGGAGTTGTTGTTTGGATTCTAACTCGAAACCGCCACCACCGTCGTGTGTTGGTGGCTGCCGCCACAGACCGCCGTCGACCACCACTGCATGAGGTGGCAGTGGGTGGTGACCGACTTATTACACATTAACTTTACCTAAGCATCTAACTTTAGTCCGAGTGGCATGAGTTTGGGGTTGGAAACCCAAATTAGGGTTTAAAAACCCTAATGTCAAGAAAACCCTAGTTTTGGAGTTATGTCGGGACCCGCGTTTAAACTATTAATAGAACTTAAATTATACTTGGTAATGCCCTACAAGTAATTTAATGCAATATTGGACTTAATGAATTAAGTCTTTAAAGGGTTTAGTGTAGAACACTAACCCTAGTTATCTTTTTATGTGGAAACCCTAGAATTGGGAAACTCTATTTTGGACAATGGTCGGCTGCGTATTTGGGTTATTGCTTGGATTATTATTATTATACCCGAGAATGACTAAGTTAAACCTTAATCAGTCCTACCCTTAGGTGATTAAGTCTTTAACGGGTTAGGTGTTCTTACTTAACCCTAATCGTCATTTTATGTGAAACCCTAATCGTCATTTCATGTGAGGTGGTCACTGTTGCATGTGACTATGACCTGCGATCTGGTATTGACTCAAGTATCATCCTGATAGGTGATTGGAAGTGAGTTGAAGCTGGTAGGGTTCTTCGTTGCTACAGTGGTTACCTACGCATATATCGAGGTGAGTTTCGCCTCACTGTACCCGTGGGTCGAAGACACCAATGTCGAACCACTAGTTTTGGTTATCTGTTAGTAGAGGGATACCTTAGGGACTATATATAGTCATGTAGGATAGACTGAGGACTCTTGATCTAAGCTCTCTTACATGTCCCTTGTTTGGTTGTGGTCTAGAGTAGGATCACCTGTCCGGGTGACTATCTCACCTATGAGTATATACGGCCATGCATTCCTTGGATTGTTGATATGTAGTATGTTGCTATATTGTAGTGATCTGTTACATCTTGTTCTGGTATTGAGTATGTTGCTATGTTGTAGTGATCTGTTAGATCTGTGTTTTGGTATCGAGTATGCTGCTATGCTGTAGTGGTCTGTTAGATCTGTGTTATGGTATTGAGTATGTTGCTATGTTGTAGTGATATGTTAGATCTGTGTTTTGGTATCGAGTATGTTGCTATGTTGTAGTGATCTGTTAGATCTATTTCTTGGTATTGATTATGTTGCTTTGCTGTATTAATATGTGGAACTGTATGTTATATGTGTTTGCTGGTTGTCATCTATGGAGTGCCCTTAGGGACTGTCTGTGGTCATGTAGGATAGCCTGAGAACTCTTGGTCTTGACTCTATTGCATGTTCCTTGTTTGGTTGTGACTTTAGAGTAGGATCATCTGTTCGGGTGGCTATCTCACCTCTGGTTACTTATGGTTACGCATTCTATGGAGGTTAGCTGGTTGCAGGACTGTATGTTGTAAGAGGACTGGTACGCGGTAGTGATTCGTATGATTGTTGTTTGCCAGTATTATGTGCCTACCTTATCCTACTTGTTTATTTATCGACATGTTGTGTTTGGTTTGGGTTGAGGCGGTCCTGCTTTGTGTTGTAGGCCAAGATACTCAGTGTGGGTCGGCTATAAGCCATAGGCAAGGAGGCTCGGGAAAAGCAGTAGGGTTGAGGCGGTAGGCCAACAAACCATGGGTATTCCACCCCGATGGCTGATTAGACCCGTTGTATATTGGCATTCCAACCTGGGGTGTTTCATCCTGAGGATGACGGGGCCCGGAGGTTGACTGGGCCTAGGGTATTCCAACCCGATGGTTGATTGGACCCGACATGTTTGATTGTATATGTCATCCGTTTGTATGGTGGTATTTTTGGGGAAACTCACAAAGATTTATGTTTACCCAGTTGTTGATTGTTTCAGGTATCATCGGTGGCTATGGGAAGGCGAATGCGGGACTGTACACACTCATCAGCAGCATTGAGGATTTTGCATTTTCTATGATACCCTGATTTTAATAAATGTAATTTGGAATAAACGGTTTCCTTAATAATGGATTTATGAATTGTGAAGTTTTACCTTAATAAAAATGATAAATTTTGGTTGTGAAAATGGGACGTTACAAGTTGGTATCAGAGCCCTGGTTTGAGTGAATTGGAGGAACACTCGTGTGAATCCAGTCTCAAACTAGGATCTAAGAATTTTTGAAAAATGTTTTTTTAAAGAAATAATTTGTAATAAAAGGGTTGGGCTAGGGACATGGGCTCGGTCTCTTGTCATGTTCTTGTTTGAATGTTGGCTTGGGATCAGGAATGTGGTTCTTGGCTTAACCTTGACTTTTCAGGAGGATACAGTGTGTACAGTCAGCCAGAGCCCGAGCAGGAGAGTGGCTCCCAAAATACCCATATTGGTTATGTTTGCTGAGTTTTGATTTTTATGATATATGACTTGTTAGAAAAGCATGCTAGTGGATAAGTTTCTTTTAGAAACTGTTGGATAGAAATGCCTGATTTATGTGATGCCTTATAATATAGGTAGTTGATTGTTTGATGTATATTAGTTGTTTGTGATTGCTGCGTGTATGTTGATTAGTTGTATATGGTCGGATTGGATAGCCCTAGAATGATCGACTTAGCCTTTCTTCTTGTTCCTTGTTTGCTTGTGGACTTAGGGCATATTCGATTATTCGACATTCTATCTGATCTCGGGTTGAGTACAGCAAGCATGCACAAAAGCAATCGGTGGTGCGAGAGCGTGGGTAATCCAAGGAAGAGTGCCTAGGAAGTTAGTTGTAGCTCGTAGGAGAAGTGGGTGTTAGCACACCTAGGAGTGGCTTAGTGCAGTGACTTAGGACCTTAGAATAAATTCTAAATCAACTACAGATAGGTGTGGAAGGTAGTATGGGCCCGTACTACTGAAAGCACGGGATTTGTATGAGATTCAGGAGGAATTTTGAGGCTACTGAGGAACTAATAGGATTACGGCCTTGTGTGTTGAGCACTATATTGTGATGTTTGATCCTTCCTTGATATATTTTCAGTATGGCGACTATTAGAGGTTAAGGGTCAGGAGCCGGAGCTGGTGGCCAGGATGGGCCAGGATTGACAGAGTATCGGGTTAGAGAGATCATTCGTGAGGAGGCTGTTTCTTTTGTCTGGGAGGTGACTCCGGAGTTGTTCGGGATGGTCAAGACCGCTATGGTTGAGTTTTTCGATGATTGTTATGCTACACTTTCTGAGGTTCTTGTTATTGCGTCCACCGCAGCTATTGCTGCCATTAGGGCTCGAGGAGAGAGAGATTTCCAGTACCAGGACTTTGATAATATGAAGCCCCCATAGTTTGATGGGGTCTCGGACCTGGTTGTGGTGATGAGATGGTTGTCTGACATGGAGGGTTGTTTCTTCATGTGTTCTTGTCCAGATGACCAGAAAGTCAAGTGCGCCCTGAACCTTCTCAAGTTGGGGGCAAGGGATTGGTGGAGACTGGTGACTAGTTCTTATACTCCTGAGAAGAGGGCTGCAATGACTTGGGATTAGTTCTCAGAGATGTTCCGTGCAAGGTATGTTCCCCTGGTAGAGAGGGAGAGACTGGCCCTAGAGTACCTGGATCTAAGACAAACGACCGAGTCGGTGACGGAGATCACCAAGATCATCACCGAGAGGGCTTTGTTCAGTCCTGAGTTCGCTACTTCAGAGCAGGCTTAGATGACTCGGTACTTGAGTATTCTCAATACGGACATTCGGCAGTTCGTGTCCACCCAACGCTATGGTGCTCTCGCTGAGCTTCAGGATGCCGCGAGGAGGTGAGAGATTGAGATAGAGACCGAGGCAAGGGAGCAGTGTCAGGCTCAGGATCAGTCCCAACCTGCAACGAAGTGGTTCAAGTCCGTCGGCCAGAGTTTAGGATAAGTCGGAGGGAGGCGTATATTTTTTTTATGTTACAGGTGTGGCGAGGTGCGTCATTTTGGTAAAGATTGCAGGCGGAGTGCGCGAGTTTGTTTCCAGTGTGTTCATGAAGGCCACATTAGAGCTCACTGTCCTTTTCTCAATGAGGTCCTCGATCCTACACCCTTAGCTTGGTAGTTACCCGATGGTCGTCATGGGACTATCGGGGTCCCGAGGACCGAGATTTGAGTTGGTGGTTCTTCTATTTAGCAATTGTGGTAGTATCGGTATTCGTCTGTAGCTTCGGTCTATGTTTCAAGTTCAGTTGTAATATTGGATGATTAGTTAAATGAGATTATCTTATTTAGTTTTGTTTAAATTGATCTCTTGTTATGTATGGATTAATTATCTTTGCCCTCGAATGTATGTGTATTGTAATGTATGAATGTTGTGTGGATTCAGATTCTACCGTGTAACAGGATATCGGTTGTTGAAATCAAGTGGTAGAGCTCGAGTTAGTCTGGGTATCGAAGGACTATGAAGTTCTCGGGCTCTAGCATGTATCAAGTGGGGGAGAGTGAAACCACGCGATAGGAAGAATTTGTGCCAAGATTCGGTTCTCAGTCGGATTTCTGTAAGTTTTAGACTTCTGCGCAAGTGCAAAATCTTTTGGTTTCGTGGCAAGATCATCGTCAGCTATTGGATTTTCCC